TAGGAACATACAAGCTGAATGATTACCATATCAAAACAAACTACTTCTCTAGGATCAGAGAAAAATAAGGATGAAAGACTCTGAAGTCACTGATTCATTTCATAGGGAGGATGTTTGTATCCCTTGTCCCCTAAAGACTCTGAAGACCAGTCACCTCCTCATCCTGCTCCCACCACTTTGCTCAACTTACTCATGGATTTTTTTCCTTAATATCCAGCTTGAATCTTCTTTGCTAAGACTACCTCTTGTCCTAGCTATGACAGACACRAAGAGATTACTTTCTCCCTTTTTGCTGTAATCATTCTTGCATTCCATTAAATCCTTCCCCCCTTTCATTTTTCTCTTCCCTATTCTATCTCACTTCATGTCCCAAACTTAACACGTCGCTTGAAGCTAGTGCAGACCAGCACTGAGAAATGCAAAAACATTACTCCGTGCATTTTGTAGAGTAGTTTTTCTTTAGTATATCATCATTTTTCATCCTTTTTTACCTTTGCCTCTTGCTCATGCAGCCCACAGACAGTAATGCCACCTGGCTCTGGTTTTCTTGTTCTTGTACATCTCTCAAGGTCTTGAAGGAGTACGTCGCAGATGCTTCGATTGCAAATTGAACATTGCTTTGGTTGGCTGGTTATTTTTTGAGGGGTTGGGATGTGTGTGGGAGGGGTGTGAAGTGAGACTGAAATTGTGTGTCTTTAATATACAAAGGGGTCCAGAGCTGAGAAAATCTGACCCCTATATCCTGTACTGATGAAGCAGAATTCAATTTTAAAGCCAAGCTAAAGCAAAATGACATCTCCCATTCCAGGGCAGCATGTAAACATCTATAATAACTTTAGAGTTAGCTCACTCTAGCTCTACATAGGTTCACAATGAACCATTTATTAACAAAGCCTAACTTTTTACTCACAAATCCAACTTTTTTTTTTTTTTTTTTTAAATGAAACATCCAGAAGCATTCAAATGAATTAAATGTATCTATCACCTTAGGGCTTCCCTAAGCTGTTTCCTGCACCTGTTGTGCCCAGTTGCCAGTGTGTGTCCAGCATCTGTCTCATCTCGTTCATAAAGTAGCAACAGAGCATTTTTGTTTCCTGATGAGACAATCTCCAAACCCACCAAAAAACAGTTGCTTTGGAACTTCACAATGGTCATGACTACATGAAACTTCTATCTATGCACACAGGGAAACACACTTTTTTGATAAAAGTTGATAATATTTCATACCGTAGTGTACGAGAACTAGTCCACTCCCTCCATCGAGGCAACAAAAATGCTCTCAAAACAAAATTTCAAAATTTTGTTTTTTGTTCAAAAACAAAAAAAACTCAAAAAAATTGGGTTTTTAACAACAAATTCTGCTTCGATTTCATCCATGAAATGCGAGAAAAAACAAATACACAGTGCTGCAAATACTACACTTGCTCAGTGACTTTTCATTACTGCCAGAGCTCAGCTTACACTGAGACTTTTTTTTTTTTTTTGCTGTGATTTTTAAAGTTTTAGGCATATCGCTRTGTAACTTTAGTTTACAATTCACTAGAACTTTTATACCTACAGATTACACCCTGGTCGGTCTAAGCTTTCAGGGTGGATTTCTTCTCTAACAAAAGCTCCGCYTCGGGGAAGAGCGGGGAGAGCCAGCCCCGCAACGTGGTGCTGCGCGCGCCTCTCACGACCGTTACAGCCGTTACGGCGGTTGGCCACCMCGGGGCGGGGCCGGCGCCCGCTCGCGCCGCCAGAGGAGCGCGCGGGGGCGGGCAGGGCAGGGGAACAGCCGTGGAAATGGGCGGCAGCAAATAGGCTGTTTTTAACTGCGCCACTCACCAGCAGGATCGTGGCGACAGGATCCGCACTAGTGATAGGGCAGGGCGAGTCCCTCAGCAGCTGCCGATCAGTGTGGCTACAGTGAYTTCCCGAGGTATCCAGGAAAGAAAACTGCCATTTCACCTCCTGCTGCATTGCCTGCAGGATTTACAGTGGCTTTTCTTAGCAGGCAGCTGGAAATAAAGGCTGCTAAAGTGCTGTACCAAGGTTAAGGATGGCAAACAGTCCATCGTGAAAAGAGAAAATTCAGCCCAGTCTTGATTCCCATTTCCCACAGTTATCAGCATAACAGTCCTGCCATGACCATGAATTTACCTTTCACACCAGGGCGCATGAAGTCCTAAGTGTCCCAAAGGCACAGCACGGCTCCCCAGCCCGGGTGAGCCTGTCCATCTGCGAGCAACCAGCAGCTCCTGCTGCAGGCCGAGGTCTGGCTGGTTGTACCCACTGCCCAAAGAGAATATATTTTTTATGGCACCTCTGCAAGCTGATGCTTTGCAATGTTTTTCTTTTTCCCCTAAAAAACTACCACAGGGGAAATTAATAAGAGGTAAAACTTTCCATAAAGCTACTTAACTGCGAGTTCAGGTGTAAGGGGAAGGGAACACAGCAGACAGGGCACTAATTGCTGATAAATGTCATCTTACACCAGCTCTAGCACAGCTCTAGCACAGAGAAATGGACTTCACTGAGAAAGGTTTTGCCAAAAGGAGGATGAAATTAGCAAGCAGTGAAGTACCAGTTGACCAAAACTTGGCTCAGTTTCTTCTGTTCTTCCATTTGGGAAGCAGATGATTTTTTTTTTTTTTTTTTTTTAATTTTTGCTCCCCAAAGAGGAGAAAATTTTCTCACTTACCTCCCCTGTTTGCAGAATTCCTTGACCAGATCACTGCACTTCTTATATGAAATTCTTATGTTAGCACAAAAATATGAAAATAGAAGCTATAACACTGTTATTAAAAATGTCAAGACTCTGGAAAGGAATATGATATAGTGAAAGAATAGCTAGTTTTATACTCTGTTATATTTAGGTCAAAAACAAAACATAAACCAGCTGAATGACATACTTTAAAACCAAGGCAAGATTATGAACATAATCTACTTTGCCTTCTTGTATAGCACAAAGCCCAGAAATCGAAAAGCTGATTCCCTTGTGTAAACCTCTTAACATGTTAGCCGAGTAAGACACATCTTTTTAATGAAACATCTTGTCTAAAATTTAAGACTCAAATGATTAGTGAATGAATTACATCCCTAATTAAGGGGTTAGTTACCCTACCACTTCTTAAAAACTACAGTTTTCTTACTTTTGTTCATTTCTTTTCTAAGGGTTAAGATATATTCCTAAAGGCTGTAATACGTTCACTTTGTTATAGGAAAAAAAAATATCCTGAGAGTCTTATCAGATGCACAGACACACCTTTTGATGCAAGTGGTCTCCATCTTAAGTCACCTAAACAATAAAAAGAATCTGTCCCTTAAGCAGTTTTGACAGTTTAGCTCCAGATTTTCCTCTTGATTTTGCTTCTCACATAGTCTTAACCCAGATTTCTTACTACCAACCTTGCTTTAACGCAAAGCCCATTATGGCCAAAAGAACTGCTACATTTTTAATAAGGCTTTTACTTTTTACAAGTTCACAGAAAGTTCTGCTCAGAAAGCCCACAAGTTCTGCAAGMAGCTGCATCCTCTCATTCCGAGGCTGTGAAGCAGGTAGCGGCAGCAGGGGGAGTGCTTGGCCTGCACTATGCTGGAAAAAAACACATTTCTCCACCCATTTCTCCTCCTCCAATTCCAGCAGCCTAATTTACAGATGACACTGAAGCAAAGACTGAGAAAGTCTGAAAGGAAATGAGCAGTGAAATATCACTTCCTATACCACTGTATGGAACAAACAACTCTGGCCAGAAGATAGGAGTGTTTCATACTCAGAACAGCAGCATCATTGGGGACACACTACTCCAAAGCAGCACTGAATGAGAAAAGACAGGAATTTGACATCTGAGGAACTACAGCTGTAATAGCATAACATTTTCTGCATCTGTATAGGCCATGCACATATTTCCTAGCATCCAACATGGAAAATTCACCTATGTTACCAGCCCCAAAATCTAAGATTTCAAGTAAAGCACTTAGTAGTTATGCAGGAGAGAGGGGGGAAAAATAGTAATAAAATCAATATCCGTCAACGTCTGGGATCTCAAGGATTCTTGAAGCACAACAAATTAGAAAGCCATCCAAACTCACATCCATGCCAACTTAAAGCCATACTGCAAAATTCCCACAAAAAAAAGGAGATCTTTCCACACAGGCAAACCAAAAGAAAATACACCTGTGGTCTGTTGTTGAATAAAGGTATGAGGTTAGGTACTATTCCTAGCACAAATTTTTGAAGCTATCAACTCCGGTGTTTGCAAAAACTGTTAATAGTTCAAAACTTCTCAAGAATAAACTCAACACCAAACATCCACGGTAGCTTGGTACACTTCACCACCATTCTTCAAAAAGTCACAAAGTCAGCCCCAAATCACCAAGAGATTAACACTCTGAAGAGCTACCGAAGCAATTACTGGACAACTTCAGGACTCTTCACAATACTTATTTGAGACCAGAGAGTCATTTCACATCATTTATAAAAAAAAAAAAAGTTTTATTCCCAGTGAGCTCAAATTTTCAAATTCCCTCTTCCCACTGGTCTTCCAGCACAAAAGCACACAGAACAACTAACATAGCTATTCCTTTAGACAAAGGAGGCCCTTCTAGCAGTCTCTAATATCTAATATGCCACAAAAACCCCAAATTTTCTATCATCATTTCTATTTCAATATTCACAAAGTACTTACCTCCTCCTCCTGAGACCTGGAAGGTATTAAGTGCGAGGCAATGCAAACGTTGGTAAAGGGACAAGCAGCTTAAAAGAAAATGTACTAATTTGCTACAGCCAACAGTTAAAGAAATTTGAATAAGTGTAACACACGAGGATACAAAGAGTCCCCAAAATTTTATTTAAAGAAACATGTTCAAATGCAGCATTTGCAAACAGAGAGATAGAGAAAGAGAGAGAAAAGACTGGAATGCCAATAAAGTTAAGAGAATTTCTGCTTAGTTATATTTCCTTTGATAAACTAGCACCATTGAATCACAAGTCACAGACTAAATTATTTCTAGATGTGTGAAAAGCTTCACAATTATAAAATTTAATATTCTAGTAATGAAAATCGTTTTCAAACACTTCTATTAAAAATTGGTTCTCCATTTGCTACTCCTAAAGATGAAAGCAGTTTAAAATACAAGTTTTTGTATCTACTGGGGTTGTTCAAATTACCCATAAAAGACAATTTAATCTATACATCCCAAATGAGGGAAAAATGTCCAAGAGTCAGCTTTTCACAGCTCTTCACAAACTCAACAAGTACGAAAGATTTACTGTGTTATAAATATACACAGTACAATATGTACAAGTCTGGTCTTACAAAATAAGAGCTTCCTAGTCCATAAAAATACTAACTGAACTACAAAATTTCTTAGTGTTTAGTCAAGCTGTCTCAAGCAGCCACTATATCAAATTCCTAAAACACTGATTTGTTCCACAGCACAGCAGCTCCAGAGTGTTCCTAATGGGAAAGGATGCAACACTTCACCATAAAATTGATTTATAGTCCTAATCTCACTCAGATTTAGTGGTACTGTTAGTATTCACTATCTGTCTGTTTTAAAGGTGGTCAGAAGACCTTTACATGTTTCTAGACTGTGTTTGAATTACTCAAAGTGCTAAAAGTGCGAGCAAAGAAAAGAGTTTTGTGTCTGTTTTCCAGGATACCTTTCTCTGGCACGGACAACAGAAGCCAAATATTTAGAGGTCTGTGAACAAAAATACACCCACTCCTATGAGCATGCCCAGGGGAATGTGCACAGGTACATATGCACTCTTAAAAATCTGTCCTGTAAAAGAGTAAAAAGTATCTCTTTGTAAGGAGCAAGTTTAAGCAACTCTTACAAAAGGTTTCATACAGATGCCTGGAATTTAAGGCATTTATAAGGCTTAAAATGACTATCACGTGGTGGTAGGGAAGAAAAAAAAAGAACCTTTTCCTTCTTAAACTCATGGTGTACAAGTATTGCTCTGGAATTCAGAGAAACCAAATCTCTAGCTTTTTTTGTCAAGCAACAACCAGGTTACAGTAGCCCATGTGGTTTATCAATTCATTACAGTTAACACAACACACATATACACAATACTCCCTCGGTTCTTCTACTGGAGACCATCTATGGTTTTTGCATGGAAATAAAACTACCTGAAGACCGTTTCAAGCCATATTCTTTTGTACTTACACAAACAAGTACAAGAAATGATCAGACTGATACTTCTCTCTACCAGAAAAGATACACGAGACTCTCACTGATACACAAGGTAACACTGCTTCCTTTTCACTTCCTTACAGCGGTCTTCTACGACATGCATCATAGTAGCTAGTACTATTAAAAACCAAGAACATTTCCCTTTTGACAAAATTAACAAACTTTTCTAGCGGGCACATGGGCTTGCTGGAATGCTTGTAATAATCCTTGCAGAAGGAGGTCTGGAATGTGACATCAGCACCATTGTAGAGGATGCGGATAAAGTGCTCTTTGGGTTTCTTCCCATCCTGCCATAGCTCAAAGACTAATCTGGCTGCAAATCTTGGAAATCTGGCTTCAGTAATGCCCAAGGCACTGAGAACAGGTGACAATGTGACATCGTGTGCAGAGTAAAGAACAAATACTTCTTCCTTCTTGCCTTCTGCTATACGCTGCAGCCGGTTAACAGTCTGGTTGAGGAGAGGGTGCGTAGCCAACAGTGCGTACAAGAAATACAATTTCTTCTCCTGTCTTTCTCTTTCATCTTCTAATTGGTGTCTCTTGATTACTTTAAAATGTTCCATCCCAATGCAGCCAGTGCTAGTGCATGGAAAACTAACATTATGGCAAAAATAGCAGAGGAGAGAATCTATCGGGTTAGAAGCCCTCAGCTGCCTGGTGGGAATGCCTACAATCTTGGCCATATCCACGTATATTTTCTCCAAATTGTTGTTCTTCACCCGTAGGCTGTACTGCCGGCGCTGCTCCTCTTCCAGGTAGTGGTTTCGCATAGGGCAGTCGCAGCTTCCAGAGCAGAAGATGGTGCTCCACTGATGTCTCATGGTGATTTTCTTCCAGTCGAAATCCGGCAGGAATGTGTAGAGCAGGGCCAGGGCGCTCTGCAGCGTGCGGCTCTTCCCCGTCGTCTCCAGGTAGAGCTGCTTTGCTGCCCAGTCGCTCTGCAGCAGTTTATGCTTCTTTATATAGATCTCCCGCAATAGCTGTCCATTTTGCAAGTGCTGCACCACTCCTAGAAAAGAGTTTTGAAGTAAATTATAACATGCAGCTAAACACAATCCCTCCAGCTCTCCACAGTTTTGCTTCTATATGGCCATATCCCTCCCTGCAACACTTGCCTACCCATTTGGTAGGGATAAACTAAAGTGCATGAACTACAAGAGTTCAACAGTCTTTTCTATCAGCAGTAGGAATAAAGTCTATTTTTTAAATAAATTGTGTGAAGTTAAGTGCTGGTATTTCCACCTTCTCCCTCACAAAAACTTCTCCCTCCTTCCACCTTCTCCCTCACAAAAACTAAGCTCAACAGAACTAACACAAAATATATGAATAAGCTTAATTTCCTTGCCAAGGAAATAGATATATGTAAATACACCCGAAACAGGAGTTCAGCTCCGCTTGTTTAACAGCCTTGACACTTTATATAAAGCTTAGAACAAAGCAAATTGTACAGAAGACAGACAGGCTGTAGGACAAATAACAGTTAATTACAAACTACGACCACTCCATAGTATACAGCATTTCTTATATTATTATTCAATATTCCTGCATAACCTAAGCTATGATCAAAACTACAAGCTTCTACAAAATTAGCTATATAGATAACATACACATTTTCATACAGAGAACAAGAGAATATCCCCTTTTTGGGGGGCTATATTTAATAGAGGAAGAGAAAAATGAAGGTGCTACAGGAACTTACCTGTCTGTGTAAGCTCACCCATTTCACACAAGGAGTGACTGGGGTAGCGGGGCAGGCTGCTGAGGGTACCATCCATTTGGGCTGCAGCCCCTTTGGACATATGTTTAATGAAAGCTTCAAGCTGAGGATGAGAAGGTTTCCTAGGAGAGGTAAGCAATGAAAATGTGAAAACTTCCAAAAGTGTATGGGGAAAGAGCTCAAGAGAGTCAAGTATTCCAAGTATGTCAACTCAGAAAATGTTGCAGGAAAAGGTTATTTCCCACTGAGACAGCATCTGCTCTCACTCGGAACCTTTGCAAGCATGCAAAAGAAATCTAACTCCTTAGCTGCATCAAGCACAGAGCTAACAGGAGACAAAGGGGTATTTCTGGCATGACTTGGCATGTTAAAGCTATGGTTCTTTTGGTAGGCTATAGGGAAAAACATTTGCTTCCAGTTTAATATATAAAAAAAAGCAATCAATACAAGTATTATTTTTTTTTAATTACTGCAAAAATTTCTTTTGCCGGTTTCTGAAGTACTTGTACAGTTCAAGAACGTGGCCAATGACACTAGGAGTCTAAATGGACTCAACTAACAACTACTGAATTTGAAGAACTTGAAGAATTCTCAAGTTTTGTAATGTAAAATGCTGATTGCAATTGCATTTGTTATTTCAAATTTCTTCAGGCTTCAAATCAAATAGCACATACAGTCCCAGTTAAGCAGTACCTGCAAAGCAATGTCCCAAGGAGGAGAAATCTAGTTCTGCTTAGATGGTTATCATTTTAATAGGAATTTATGCCTAACGAGAGCTTTTTTGATACTGATCAAAAATAAAAATAAGAAAACCTAAAAAAAAAGTATAGAGATAAATTTGATCAGAGGATTTATAGATTATTCTGCATTTTTTAATGTTCATTTGCACTTTAACAAAATAATGAACTATTATGGTACTGAATCCTCAATTCTAAAATAAAATAAATTCCTCCCACAGCTAAAAGAACCACAAGAGGGAGCCACAAGATTGCTAAAGAGTGAATTCAAGTCTGGAATCAAATTTTATTAGGACAAAGACCTTAACACTTGCACAGGGGAACCAGCAGGGAGGTTCTCTCCAGTAAAAGAGCCTCTGGCACCACAAAGCCGTGCTCCCAGCATGCAGATGCATCTCTTCGGATGAGCCCCCTCTGACAGAAAACTATCTCTTTGCGATTGCATTGTTCTATTTTCTAAAATCTAAATTTGCCAGTATTTAATGGAGTATTTAATTTAAAAGAAAAGAATGCTACCATAGAGTACAAATGGCAAAAAGAAAAAAAGTGAGATATCAACAAAATGAAAGAAAATATACAAATCCTATTTTTCATTTTTACTTCTAATGGAAAGGAAAAAAAGTCAGTAGAAGACCTTCATGTCTTATATTCACAGCTTCTTCCATATAAAATAATTTCAATCACTCAAGGAAAGTGTAATGCTTGAGAAGGAAAGGCACGTGAGAGGTTTCTTTCCTATCTAGGTTGAGGCTTCCTGATGTGTTAAATACATATTTGAGAGCATAACCCAGCCAACCCTGGATGTGAATCTCAAACAGAACTTTGGAGATGTGGTATTTCTACAGCACCACAGAACATTAAAAAGGGGAAGATTTAAGGAAGTTAAATGAACTGCATTTGCAAATTGCTTTTAAGCTTGTTACTGATGCAGCAATCTGAACAACCCATTTTCTAAGCTTTATACGTAAACCCTTAACAGATTTTCAATTAAAATTTTCCTTAAACCATGCTTATATTACTAGCAAGTTTTGCAAATATACATATGAGAACACTGGGAATGAGCTATCTATTTTGCTTGCTCTCCTGTCTGGCATTCTGAATTCTAAAGGAATCAAACCATCAGCAACTACTTGTAGAAGGGAAAGGAGGAAGGAAAAAAAGTACAAATCAGGTTAGCTTTCCAGTATTAAAAAAGATTAAGTGCAATGCAAAAAGATATACAGGTAAATATGAGCAAACAAGGCAAGCTAACGTCCAGGACCCAATAAAACTTACACTCTTGTAGGTGAATATAGCTGTTCATCTGTCTACATCGGTACACATTATTTAACTTTTCCCTAAATGATTCTTAAAGGGAGCGAGCACAAGTTAAGCACATAACCGCAAAAGTGAACAAAGAAATACGACTCTGTTGGATGTGCTTCTGAGCATGCATTTCAGACCTTTAATTGAAAGCTTACTACTTTCTGAGTGTATTTGAGAGGGGCAGAGGGGAAGATCAAAGAATGGAAGGAAGAGCTATTCTGCCTAAAGGCAACAGACTCAGACATCTCAGACTACAATATACATCTATCCTTAATGCAAGGCCGGTGTATGCAACAAAAATATGCCAGCAATTTTCCTAATTAGCCCTCTCCACGTCAACAAGATGAAATTTTGGTATTYATTTTTTTGTTTTAGAGCATAACTTAGACTCTTTCCTATCTGACAGGGTATTGCACCCCTCCCCCAGGATGCGTTTTCCATTTCGATTACGAATCCTCCTGTTGAATTGGCCAATTTACAGATGCCGCAGGAGATGGGGTATCCAGGCAACACAGCCAGGGCTGCTGCCACTGCAGGAGCGGGAAGCACAGAAAATTGCTCAGCTGTGCAGCTGAAAGGATGGAAATGGCCTTAAAATTTTGCTTTCATAAAAGTAACCAGAAAGTAAAAATAGACTGAAATATTTACTCTGTAATTGGCTTGACATTATAGCAGTAAGCTACAGTATTTGGGAATGTATTGATACAATAAATATTTTGAATTTTATCAGTATGCAGAAAGGCTCTTTACCACCAATAGACTTATTTTTTCCTAATCTTGAACATTTGTTTCCCTTTTCTAGGGTCTGTAAATTTGCACTGTCATTACTTCYGTTGTGCTAAATAATGTATATCTAACACAACTGCGGACATTTCCTTCCAAAAATAAATTCAGTTTGCCTGTTTTCTTCATTGAAGTACTAAACGTCAGATAATAGATCCCAAATTTAATAGTGTAGTTTCCATGCACTAACATTGAAATGGACTAAGACTTAAGTATCTTATTTGTAAAAGTCTTAACAAGCTTTAATATAGAATCTGCCATTGTCTCTCTATTGCTATGCTCTAATCAGTCTAGTACAGAAAAATTCTGCACAATTATTTGAACACGCATATTTCTGTCAACAAGTGAGCTGGCATCTAATGAAATTTTTTTTCCCCCTCTTCCTTGAGCAGTTGAGACATAAAAAACGCGGATTATTTTGCTATTTGATGAGAAGTGAACACTAACTCCATGTTTCCTCTGAATGAGCCCAGAGATGTAAGCAACAGAGCATCAGAGAGAAAATATGCACATGACACCTCCGAAAATCTGCTACTGGATTCTGAATCAATTAATTGTAATGGCACAAGATGTGCAATAAATCTACATGAAATAGTGCATCTATTACTTATGTACAAGGGTAAGAAATATAACTCCTACCCTTGCAGTTCTCAACACAACATTCATACGCATTACACAGCTAGACCCCATTTCTTGCGTGGCAGCACAGAACATTTGTTGCAGAGAGCAACAAATGCCTGCACATGAGGCAGTGTCCATCCCCACCCTTCCCAATAAGCCTTAATTGAACTGCATTTCAAACTTCAGTAGCAATTCTTAAGTACTGACTGAGAAGACTGAGGCTTTTTGGTCCTGTTGCTCAGTGTGTTCAAATGCACAGAAGCCTCTTTGGGATGAAGAGCACATGTTAAAAATACCAGCCATGAAGACACAAGCCTGATAGTACGTCACCATTTTTAGACCTTAGAGTTAATTCCCAGAGCACAAGGAAAATGGTCCACACCTATCAAGGCTGGTCCACACCCCAAAATGGTCTGTGTTCATCAAGACCACTCAGAAAAATACTAATAGTGATTTATACTGTCTACTCGTGGAAGATTTTTTTACCYAGTGATCTCTGTGAACAGAAACTCTCTCTATTTAGAAGCTTAATCTGAATAGTTATCAAGTGGAAAGCTGTCAGTTAGCAAGTTCTGGGTGCTCAGCAGAATGCGGGAGGGGAAAGGTTTCTATTCATCTTAGCTCTTTTACTGTGCACTGCTGCCCACTCACAACACTAGATTGTCGAGCCCTGTGCAAGATCTCTACATCTTGGGAAAGAGCTCATAAAAGTGGACAGGGATATCAAAACATTTGTCATGTCTGGCATTTTGTTTCGTTCATTTTGAAAACTGTATTTATCTATGGAGAAGTCATTTCTGTTCAGAAAAGCAAAATCTTTTGCAAGCCAAGAGAACCAAACTTCTGACACAGGTTCCTTTCTAGAAGGCAAATGAATGGAAAGACCTATTAAAAACAACAGATCGTCCTCATCTACACAAAGAACCTTTAAAAGATCATTAGGGCTTATTTATTCACACCAATTTTCCAGCCTTTCCAGCCTTACAGCCACCTGTGAGGTTATAGGTTGTAACCAACTCAAGAAGTTGTCAGAAGCCTCAACAAGAGACCCCTCTTCACCTAAATCTGGCCTAGGACACACTCTGCCCTTGCCTCCAGCCAGATCCACACCTCCTTCAGCCCGCCATGCAATGCTGCCCCTGCCACAGCTTCCTCTCTCTTTTTCATAGTCTTTAAGGCATGCATATATTGAAACTAAAATGTCTGTTACCTCTCAAAACGACATCCAGCACATGCCAGTTAACCCAGTACACTATTCAAGTACAACAGTCTTCCAAAATCATTTTARTATCTTTCTTAAATGTATTTCTTCTCTCAGAGGTTATCATATCTCAGATATAACCTCAAAGAGGAAACATGGCATATTTGTTGATTCTGACACTATACAGGCAAGGTACAAAAGGGAAAAGAAAAGGAAGATTAATTTACTCTCCCACAAGCAAATATTACAATAGAAAGATTTTGACTAATACCACTCAAATTTCTGAGGGGAAAAAATGTACATATTATTCAGTTCATTTGAAAATTTGCATCTAGAACAATGAAAATAATAATATTAATTGAARATTTAGATGCAAGTAATCTCCAGAGCATTTAATCCATTTGCTTATATTCATTCCACACTTACGTGTCACAATCCATAACTCACACATCCAAAGCCTGACCTCAACACTGCTTTGCATACTCACTGGAAGGCCACGGGCTGTAGCCTAATCTGCGTAATTAATGAGTTCCATCAGCTGAATGCCAAGTCAAATAAAGAGCAGAGTGAATACGAGCAGCAAGCTTATCTGAAACCGTAGTCCAGAGAGCTCAAGAGTCACACTTTTAATCAGACATCTCAACCTAATTATGCAGTGTGAAGAAACCAGCCAAAAGGTTGCAACTGTATGCCTTGTAACACTCTCAATCTAAATACGTTTCCAATCAAGCACCAAATATAAGTCAAAAGAATATAAACTTGACAGCCAAACACAACAAATAATTTCCTCATGTTAAAATAATAAATGCATCATTTGAAACAATGGTAGAAGCATTAAAAATCCTGGCTGTAGTTGGAAATGTCAGCTCTAATGCTTCTGGACACTATGGCACAAAGCCAACTCTTTTAATCTTCCTGCTGCCCTTTCAAAGTCAGACAGGAAATTTTAGATCAACTTGGTTCTGAAAGAGACAAGGTCTTTTTGATTCTCCACTCATTTTCAGTGGCTGTCAATGGTCACAGACACACCAGCGCTGCTACACTGATGATCCCACACATTAGSACTGGGCTAGGGAAGCGCTGCCCTCCTCCCCACAGCCTGGCAGGACACCCCCCCGACTGCTCCTCTGGGCTGTTCTGATGGCCATGACAAAGGTGGCACGAGGCACTTCATGGATTTTTTGTTTTTTCCTGGTGCCAGGGCTGTCATGTTATAGCACTTGCCCGACATCAAAGGGGAAAAGCTTTTCTGACAAACATAAACCTGCGGTCATGTGCCACCGCAACACTGAAAAATGCAGCCACGCATCCCATGTTATCACTTACAGTGAACATCTSCGCAATAAAAATGTTCACCCACATATTCTAATGTGGCAGACACCAAGCAAGATCAGAGCCTTAGGAACTCTKCAAGAATTTAAAATAAATTTCATTTCTTAGTGCTTCTTTCTGAGAATAACCTCATCTTTTAAAGGCAGATCATTTAAAATACTATCATAGCTATCAGCAAATTGTTCTTTTTTCATCTAATTAGAATTTTTTTTTTGCCCACTCTTAGGTAAAGGTATCTGCAATTGGGTCCCCATTGTGCAAATCCAGGCGTTGCATATATTTATCTATTAAAAGATTAAAAATGTATAAATTATATAACATTTTTCTTTAACTTCACTAATAAAAACAATATTGCAGTTTAGGCTAAATTGGGACCTCTATATACACACACTCCTCTCTGTTTAGATCCTGATAAAGAACTTAAATAAAACTAGGGACATCTTAAGCTTGGTTCTAGGAGCAGCTACAGTAGACACTGATGGGGCAAGGATGCTCACGGCCTCCAGCCTCATGCAGTCACTGCCCGGTGACAGCAGCATGCGCAGCGACAGGCTTACTTTGGATTATTCATGCCACACTACGGTACTAACTACAACTAAAGAGAAKGCTCCAAGCTTKGTAGGCTTCAGGACATCTATTCCAACACAGGCAGTTGCTCTTATGCAGCCGTATATGTGAACAGAAAGTCAAGGTATTTCAGCTTTTTTTCAGAGAATCACCAGTTTTGCTGATCATTTTCTGCTAGCCTCTTTGTCTGCTCCTGTAGTCACCGACTTTGCAAGCCTCTTTAACCAAGGTTCCCATCAGCAGCACGAGCACAAGATGAAGCTCTGCTTCATGATTAATTGCAGGTATCCTTTCATTTGGTTCTGCATATTTTAGCAGCACTCCTACTGTGTATACAGTACTGTATACACATTTTATACAAGCTGCAGACTTGCCAAAAGGCTTCACCAACACATCTTGATGCTCCTTGGTATTTTTCTTTTAACAGGAAACATTCACAAGGTTTACCAGGAAAGGTCTCTCGAGCRGAGAAAATACACAGATCCTACTGAAGAAGGACTTGGGTAATCAAACAAGCTGGGACACAGGTTTTGGAACTCACATCACCCTGTTCATTTCTACTGCTTTACATTGTACTTTGTCTTTATGAATTAATAAAGCCTAAAGACAACGGAATTGCTTCTTCTTGAAGGAGAAGCATTCAGAGCACATCTACAGCTTGAACTGATCATTTACTGAGACAACCACCAGGTAACTACAATAATGTGATGTTAGAAGCACAATATTTTGAAACAAAAGATAAATGACATTTTAATGGCAGAGATAGAAAACTGATGTGTGACAGTTTGGAGCAGTCAGTGGTAACAGCAAAGGTAGCTTTTAAGTGGCAAACAGCTGTACGCACAGTTTAGCCTGTAATCTAGTAGTTAAATATACAATCTTTATGTTCTCTTCCTGAAATAAATTTGATATAAATCTTTTAAAGAAAAAGCCTCATCATCTCTACTTCTGAAAAGTTAAAAGAAATACACCAAATATAAAATACAAGTATCACATTTTTAAAATGAGGAAACTTGTCTATGAAGAATGGTAACCTAAATATTTAAATTAAACCTCTCTTGCTTTTCTAGAGCAGATGCAGTCCTAATTTTTTAATTAGAAACAGAGATGCCTAGAATTCTCCTAGTCTAAACTGGAAGCAAAATAAAGTGTTTCAAAGGAAATGCTGTACACCTCTCAAAGTTATTTCAGTTCATCACAGTACATACAAATCAAAAACCCCACCCTGAGGAAAAAATGAAGCAATGCGTGCATCCAGGAACAACAGGGGCCAGGAATTTTACCTGCCAGGCACCAACGTGCAGTCAATGTCAGGTCTCTTGGTCTTGGGAATGGCGTAGAGWGGGTATCTATCACCGTGTCGAATCAACACTTGAACCGACACTAGTTTAAAATAGTGGGGTGCGTGACCTAAGTGAAAGAGAATAAAAAATACCAAGTAAATGTTACCTATCTTCCCCTGAAGAGCAGGCCTTTAAGGACAAAACAAACATCACACTGGACTATAACCATTATCCAGATAAGTGGCAGCAGATCCTGGGCAGTAGACTACTCCCAAAATCAAGACATCAGCAAGGAAATGCAGGGAGGTAAAGGCCAGTGAAGCATTTTGAATGATTCAATACAATTCAGCAACCAGCTGGCACTGCTGTACCTTGCTCCAAGCACTGCAGAACTGTCAAAGCACAGAGCAATCACTTCTCATGTCAGCATATAGAAACGACACGGTCCTCTACATACACAGAGCTTACCCTCCATGCTGCGTTCGGCGATGCTGGGAATGTTACAGTAAACGTRAGCTTCATAAACAGGGTCTATTGCAGGGGGCTCGGTCAGCAAATCAGGCATTATTCTCTTCCGGCTCTTAGGATTCAGCCCATCTTCCCTGACRGGGTTTACCGGGATTAAGTGCACTGAAAGATACAAAACGTGCAGGCAGTAAGTTCATGTTCGCTACTAGATCTTCAGGATAGTTGAAGAACATAAAAAAAMTAGGATTTTTTTTTTTAAACCCATTACATAAAAAGACTACACCTGCTATGAAAGGTTGCCACTCTAGAGTACAGATCTTTGCCATTCTAGTGTATAGATCTTGGCTGTGAATTTTTCATGTTTTTGTGGTCATCAAGGCAAGCCTAGAGAACTCTTCAGCAAAGTCAGTGCTTGGCTATCGCTGCAGAGATCCGTCCGCACACAGAAGTACTTGGCCTGGCCTCAGGCGCTCCCTGACGCTGCTTTCTGTCAGTCTCATGAAGCTCAAACACACATGAACAGGAAAAAAAGGGTAGAAAAATATTTAACTTGAAGATAATTCACAAACAAGCAGCGAGCCATTATCTGCTACCCTGCTTGATTGCCAGTTAYGCTGTGGCTCTTACATGTCATACAGCTCAAGTCAGGCAGACACCCCTTGAGAACAGAGACTTCCTGGCACTTAAGCACCTGMGAAAACGCAACTAGATTAAGGGCAAGACTTTCCATTACAGAGAAGAAAAAAAATATTCTGCTTTTGTCTGATATCTCCAAGTGATGAACTCGCTCCAAGCAGAAGCCTGGAGGTCTCAGCTCAGGACTGTCCGTGTTTGCCCCCCGAGCTCACGGGAAGGCATCCCAAGTACTTACACCAGGGACCAGAACGAGGGACTGGAGGAGAAAAAGATGAAAGAAAAAAGCTAGAGATAGAAAAAAAGAGTAAAACAAGATGCTCCCAACTATCACCTGTTGAAAGGTATTGAAAGGTGTTGAAAGCTAGACAAATATGCAAGTCTGAAAGTGTTACGGGTCAGAACTCACTAAAGTCTAATTACTTCTTCTTGCTCCCAATTATTTTCTTAAATGGCTAGAACTCAAACATCAACTTTTAACCAGTGATTGGTGATACAATTAGAGCCTCCCACAATTCCATTCCCTTGGTTCCCTTAAATAGACCGTCTATTTAAAGAAAATGCACACAAACATGAATATTACTGCTGAAATACAACTGAAACTATCATGAGAAAATATAATTAGAAAGAAATGTAGTCAATGCTCAGACATAGCAAGAAATTAACAGAAATGCAACTACTGGCCACTGGGCAGAGAAGAGCAGGCTTGCTCAATAGCCAGAGTTGGAGGCACAGTTGCACTCACAGCAGCTCTTTAGCTTCATACGAAAGCACCAGTTAATTTAGGAGTCTTACAAGACRACACTTGTAATAACCCATGTTCACAATTATTTCACTGTTAGTAGCTTCTGGAATTCAACACTGGCTGATTCAGAGCGAAAAAGGGGAGGAAAATTGCTCAGATTGTTCCCACTATTGGTGTTGTGTGGCAAAAATAAGAGCAGAAAATAAAGACGGAGGAGGAGAAGAGCAAACATATTTCAAAACAGAGCTCTGATTCTTCTGGGCCAGTTCCTCACTCCCAGTCCTAATTTCAGAGGCAAATTGTGGAGTAGACAGACAGCAATGAGGACAGCACRCTGGAGTGAAGCACACGGAAAGATTTTAAAAGCTGATAGTTGTTAATGTACCACAGACTCCCCATTCTTACAGTACAATACAGAGTTTTTAACATTTATGTGGTTTCTCTTTGCCTGCCAAAACCCGAATTCAAGCATTTTCTGTACCCTTCTGTACATGGCAAACACTCCCAGAGCAATGGTTCCAATCCTTTCCCCGGGATATTTCACATTTGTATCACAATCGCCCAGAGGACTGTGCTTATTAGAACATGAAACTGCAATTTTGAGTTAGGCCATTGAAACCGCAGGGCTCAGCTGCCATTCCCACGCTGATTTTCTTATCAGACACATTCTCCAGCCCCTCCCAKGCTAAGGCTATTGTCCATGGTGAGACAGCGCCAGCAGCTCAYGGAGAAACCCCATTTAATAACAGGGAAGCTGGGGAGCGCTTATTAGACGTTGATGGCTCTGCCTGAAGGAGGCTCACAAAGTATTTATATTTGGGATATAAATCCCAAGGGATGTGTTACGCTAGTAACCCCCGGCCTCTGTAAACAAACAGAACTACAAAAAGTAGTTGCCATGGCTGATAAAAGAGCATGAACAGGCGATTACAGCACTTCTATTATATTGGTCAATTTTCCTAGCCAGAAACACTTAAAGAGCAACTACYACTAGCTTTCTGTTTAAATTTTTCTCTAGAGCACCCTACAATGTTGTTACTACTAATTTACCTCACAAAAATGTACCAAGTCATTGAACACATCATTTTTTTTGCAAAGACTTAAGTACAAAAGTCAAAAGATGGACACATTCACCTACTAAGACTGAGGACCTGGGATTCATGGAGCYGAATATTTCATCTAGAGGCAATAAGTCTCACTGCTAAACAAATCGGTTGAAGAAATATTTCAACAGTCAGACAAATTTAACTAGGAAAGGCATTCAATCTTAAAGTGAAAAACCTACTCCTAAATTATTAAACAATAAAATTGCATATTAAAAAGAGAATGGACAGGATTATCAGATGGCATGTTTAAATTTCACAAAAGGCACTCTCAAAATGCCCTTTAAAGGACACTCTTCAGAAAAAGCAGCTTTGGCTGAAAAAAAGAAGAGGAAAATATCTCTTACACAGACTGGAAGTGTTCGCTGGAGAAAGGCTAGAAATACCAAGACTTGGCACCATGAATAAAAGTAATTAGGAAAAGACTGTCCTAAATTTTTAAGTAAAGTGGTTAATTACATAGATCAACTACTGGATAGTAGCTGATAAATACTACCTGCACTGCTTAGTGGATCGGCTCTGGTTATACCAGGGAGCAGGAAAGGGCACGGGAGCTCCCCATGCCATGCACGGCTACCACCCCATCTGCACCCAAGTGTCTCACGTAAGGACTCGGCTAAGGGAGCCTCCAACTTTGAACTCCCATGGGTACAACCATGTGGATTTCTAGAGATCTTTGACTCGTTTGGTAGAAGGCTTATAGGTGAGTAAAGGCAGTTATGAGGAAAGTAAAAAGCTCCAGTCACCTAAGCAGACACTGCCACACTACATACACAGACACCTGGGTCTTTAATTCAGCTATATGTATTAATAAAAAGAAAGTAAGATTTGGACACCGGTCTAGGGAGTCTTTTCTCTAGGGAGAAAAGTCTCTACCGAACACTTACACGTTAAAATAACAAGTATTTCAGAGGTGGGGAGAACACAAACCCAGGGAGGCACAACTTGCAGCAGGAGAGTTGTGTTCTGTTTGCTCAGTGCAAACAGAGCACTGGTTCCTCATCCCTACATGTCACAGCTCCTTGTGGGTGGCCATGAGCTTGGTCAAGGACCCCATGAAGGTCTGCCCTCCTTGGGGTGTCACAGCTCATCCCAAATAACACATGTATTTTCCATAGGGACAGCTCAAGTCTCCATAGTCTCTCAGTTATTTGGGGGTTCTCATTTTCTGCCTTTCCCTGAACAAGGCTAGCACCAGGCCTCTTGGAAAGGTCTTTTTCTTCCTGCCTCTGGTTCCCCCATACTTGAGCTCTGCTCCTCAAGCACCTTCTCTTTCCCCTATCCTGGGCAACCTCCTCCTACTACATAGGAGTCTCCATTCATTCCTCCCCACAGCCACCTCTTACACCACAACGAGCAGCCGTTTAAAGCTCTGAAAATCTCCCTTTTTCCCCAGCACTTCATTAGGGAAAGTCTCCTCTGCACTATCCATCCCACCTCCATCTCCCAAGTGGGGTTTTTGGTTCATACATGACCAACAGTCACAGGTTGCACCAGAGCAATGCAGCTCAGAGCAAGAAAATAACTCATATAGAGTTTAATTTTTTTTTTTTTTTTTTTGCCTCTCAACTCACTGCTGATTTTGAATGTAAATCACTGCAAGATTATAATTCTATTATGCAATTTTTACACAGCTTTTTATAGCTTAACACTATTTTATATGACTTGGTCTATTAGTTCACCGTGACGTGCCAAACACAAATCAGAAACCTGCCAGTGAACATACGGCCACGCTTAAATCTTTTATTGAGAGGGTTTTGGACAAATCTTCGCACTGCTGACTTCCAAAGCTCCCCTTTTACTACGCCAGAAACACAACTATGTAGAACAAATGTGTCAGATGATTTTGATCTATGTGCATTTCYCACAGACAGGACACTTCATAAACTGTCTGAAACGTCCTTGGTGAGATTTCTGGAAGCTTTGCCAACATTGAAGCCACAAGAAATATATGTGAATATTATTATACAGTTAGTTTGATGACAAGAGGCAAAGAAAACATTTTCTTCCCCAATATTCATATGCTTATTTTTTAAAAGAGGCCCGACACAAACAGTTTTGAGATATCAATTTTAAAAAAAATATTATCAGGAACAAAAAAAGTCAAAGAAAAACAAGGCRTAACAAATTATTAAAACAAAAAGAAGTCTCAAAGCAGCTCTGAAGGGTGTCCCACTGTGCCAGAAAGATTGAAGGCACAGAAAAAGCAAGCAAACAAACAAAGCAAACAAACAAACAAGCCACGAACACACAAGCTGCYCTCAGACACGAGCAGCAGCGAGAACACCCGGGCCGCAACAGCCGGCCGGGAGCCGTACAGGCGGAGACACCCCCTGCCACGGCTAAGGACCCCCCCGCCACGGCTAAGTACCACCGCACAACCACCCCCTCGGGCAAATTCCAGTCTCCAGTTCCAAAGGCATTTTGCTTAACTTGACAAATTAGAGCAAGACGACCAAACTCAGGCACTAACTTAACGAAGCCAGAAAATTCTACATCAGTTTGCCTTTACTATTGACTTTCTTTCATTTTATTAGTAATAATACAACTACTAATATTGTGTGCAGTGTAAGCAAGCAAAAAGCCTGCAATCATTTTTAATTTTACGTCAAAGTCAGTACCCTATAGAACCTGAAGGCAAAATTTCCAAAGAAATTGTAACTTTGGTCAAGAAATTTACT